GGTATCTTGTGATCAAGGTGAGCTTCCTAACCATCGGAATAATTAATTACAATTTCAAAATTTTTTGATACATTAGTTTTACATTTTCTTTATTTCGAGAATTTCAAAATTTCTTTCCCCCCTTTTTTCTTTTTTACTGCATTCTTATCTGGATTTAATTCTGGCATTTATACTCTCGAGGTGAGGAAGATCACCATGACTAGTTAATAATTGTTATATTCTATGTATGTGAATTTATTAGTTATCTCTGAAGAAGGCTCAAAAATGAGCCGAAACATGTAAGCGCTTTAGTAAAATAAAGAAGTTTCACGCTACGATAGTCGTGTTATTTGCGCAACATCTCCCGCGCTTGACTCCTACTGCCCTTGTTCTTTCATTGTTTTTTGATTTACAAGGAGTCTTAGTTAGGTTGATTTATTATACATCAATAAGTAATACTAGACCAATATTTGAACAACACAATTAATAGATTATATATAAATTCACACTAAGATATTAAGCAGTAAGATCGATCTTAGATCGAATGTGGCATTTATTCAATTTGATTGATTTACTTTAATGTTTATTATTTATTTTATTTTTCAGCATGGAATGATAAATCTGTGAAGCTCTTATTTACATTATATAAAGATCATCAAGATGCTTTTCAAAGCACTTCTATTAAAAATGATGTCGTTTGGGATAAAATTAAAATGCAAATGAAGACTGATAAAGGATATAATTTGACTAGGCAACAGATAAAAGATAAATGGACGAATATGAAAAAAAATTACTTACGAGTTAAAGATCATAATAAAATGACAGGTGCTGCACCCAAAACTTATCGGTATTATAATGAAATGGATGATTTATTTGGAGATAAACCAAACATAAATCCTATTGCAATTTCATCAAATATGAGAGCTAAAGATGAAAATATATCGACTACATGTTCGGATGACGATAATATAACAGAAAGTAATCAACATAAAGCAAAGAAAAGTAAGGTCGAACGACAGTTATCTTCGTGGACAGACAAATTTATTCAGTATACTAAAGAGCAAGAGGATCGACGTGAGCAGCGTCAAAAAGAAAAAATAGATGCTATCAACAATGCAACAGATACATTTCGTGATGCAATGCAGAAATTAATTGAAAAACTTTAGATTTTGAGTTTTTAAATTTTTTTACATTCTTTTCCAATGTATTAGATTAATTAGAATTTTGGTTCAACATACTTTATCTTTTCTTTAATCTATTATACAATAGCGAAAACAAGCATAAATAAATGTTTCTTTAAAAGACTTGCTTGCTATTGGATTAAAAGTAAGCTTTAATAAGAATATTATTTTGGTTTTATATTTTGCTTAATGTCAATTGCTGTGATACTATTATCAGTATTATCTTATTTTTAGTTTATCTGTTAAAATATTATAACTAGTTATAAAGCTACTTTCCAAAGCATTTCTTAAAAAATATCTAATATGATCACTCAGTAATGTTTGAAACTTTTTTATGCAACATTTATTAAAATAAACTACTCTTTATTAACTTTATAAACTTATAACTATATATATAACTGATTATATTTTAAATCTGTTTTGTTCTCATATTATGTATTATGTATTATTCTGTTATGTGTAATTATGGTAGAGATTTTGAAAGATAAGTTTAATTAATTTTAATACAGTTTATAAAACAATTATTATATTGTATTATATGTTTATGTTATGCTATTTGTAATTAAACATAAACTTTTATAAAACATGGATTAGTTTTTAAGTTGCTCTTAAAAAATAATAAGGAAGTAACAATATTTTTTGCCATGTGATATTTTATGTTTTACAACTTTATTTGTAATAAATATTTTAATTTTAAATTTGATTTATCATGTTTATTTTAATTAAAATTTAATACACACAATTAAAAGGAAAAACAGATTTACGCATAAAATGTTTTATTTTTAAAAATATTTTACAATAGTAAAAGAAACAATTATTAATCTCTCTATCTCATATTTTAATTTATTTTGATATAACATTCCATTTTAATTTAACATAGATAATGTTTGAGCTATATAATCTCTTTTATGAATACCCTCCATATTTTCTTCTGCATTTAATTGTTCGATATTATCTTCTATATTCATTTCATTATTTACTACTTCGTTATTTAATATGTAGTCTTCAATATCATCATCCACACCGTCAAGACATATGTTATGAAGGACACAACATGCTAAGATAGTTTCAGGAATAAGATCAACTCGAGTCATGTGTAAATATTTTAAACGACGGAATCTTCCTTTCAACAGTGAGATAGCTCGTTCAATAGATTGTCTACTTTTACTTATATGTTGGTTAAAATTCTTCTGTTTCTGAAAACAAAGAAAAATTATGATAAATGAACAAACAATAACTAGCAAATGTATTAAAAGATTTTTGAGATTTTTCTCTGTTTATTCTCAGACAACATATATGTCAACATGTACGTCAACATGTACATCTTAATATTGTTTTTTAACCATACATGTTGTCTAAGTTCAATTTAATTTCTTTACCCTTGTAAGATGACCGTTGTCTCTGTATGGAGGCAAACACCATCCTAAAACCGGATATGCTTTATCACCAATGATAAATTCTTGATCTGGAAAGAAATTGTTTATATTTCTGTGGACAGCATGCCATAAATCACTATTTCTGAATACTCTTAAATCTCCCACAGATCCAGGATATCCTGTAAAACAGTCAATAAATCGTAGGTCAGCGTCACATACTACTTGCAAAACAATAGCATATCTGCATTTGCGTGTATTGTATATTTCAGGATCCATCTAAAAATGAAAAAATGTTTTTGTAATTATTATACACACTAGATAAAAAATTATTAGGAATTAGGAAACATACTTCTGGTGCAGGAATTTCAATATGTGTACCATCTATGGCGCCAACAACATTAGACAATCCTGAAATTCTCTGGAATTTAGTTTTTGTATTTAATAAACTATCTCCTGTTGGCCAAGATATAATTTCTCCTGATATTGAATTTAATGCTTTAATAACTCTTTTAATACAATGAGAAAGTGAAGATTTTCCTAAATCGAATTTAGATCCAAAAGATCTGAAATAACGAAAAGATTATAGGCATACAAAGTATAAATAGTAGAATTTTAAAATGATGCAATAAAATTGAAGCAACAATATTTACCTATAAGAATTAGGAGTAGCTAATAGCCAAAGAGTGGCTAGCAACTGTTTACGAACAGAAATTGTTGAGCGACCAGTTGATTTTTGTCTCAATAATAAATTTCCAATTTTATTTTCCAAATTATCAAAGATAGCTGTACTTATTCGGAAATGTTCTTTGAACTGTTTTGCAGATAATCTTGGTATTGTATATTCTACAAAACCTTCAACTCGCACTGCTTTCCTTTTTTTGCCGCGTGTTCGTGGATTTGCCTCAATATTAATGACTTCTTGCACCAATTCCTCATCATTTTCACTATCGCTATTACTATCAATTCCTAATCTATTAATAATCTCCAAAAAATATTGACTTGCAGCACAAGCTACTAGTGCAACAACCTGCCTTTTGTTTGCTGCCATGAATACTGAAATAAATCATAAAACAAATTATAAAAATTAACTTAGCAAGCAAGAGATTATGTTCAATCATTTAATTTACAAGATAGAATATAACTTGACGAAAAGCATATTATATGAATTACAAAATCCAATTAATTTTTTTAAATAGGAAACATTATGTAGAAATTAAATATTATCAAAAAGAGAAAAAACTAGAGAATCTAAAAAATCATAGGTTCTTATAAAAAAACAAAACAAATATTATTGTTTCTTAAGTTTAGTAAAGAATGTCAAAATTAAAAAGTTAAAAAACATCGTCTCTTAGAAGGGATTCATCACAAACCGATCGCTAGCTTCCCACGTGAAAAGCTGAAAAATTGAGCTCTCCACTTGAATCGGTCACTTACGAACGGAATCTCTCCCTACCATCCCACATTATCCAAGACCGTTCCAAAATAACTGCTACCTTAGTTAACTATATCCCCCTCCAAACCTCCAACCAACAAGGTTGACCAAGGTTGATTTTGGAACGCACCCCAGGAAGGTTGGTACCTTCCTCCCCCCCTGCAAAGGGGCGACCGACTCTCGCCCTCGACTCTCACCCCCCCGTCCCCCTGCAAAGGGGCGCACGACTTCCACGCTCGTCAAACATTCACACGTACAAGTCTATTTATTCCTCGGTTTATTTTGCTTACATTTAAGCAATAGAAAGGTCACTATTACGATGCAGGGGGGGGAGCAGGGGTGAGAGACGAAGGTGAGAGCCGTGCGCCCCTTTGCAGGGGGGAGAGGAGATGAGAGTTGAAGGTGAGAGCCGCGCGCCCCTTTGCAGGGGAAAGAGGGGATGAGAATTGAAGGTGAGAGTCGTGCGCCCCTTTATAGGAGGGAGTGGGGTGAGGTTCGAAGGTGAGGGTCGTGCGCCCCTTTGTAGGGGGAGGAGGGGTGAAAGTCGAAGGTGAGAGTCGGGCGCCTCTTTGTAGGGGGGAGGGGAGGTGAGAGTCGAAGGTCAGAGTTATCTAAGCTGTGTAAAGCAGTTAAAGAATTACTAACTTTAACTGTTAATAACTTTTTAACGAAGGACGAGCGACGGCTAAAACCTTGGAGGTTACTCAGGGTTATGACCTTGACAATATATGTCAAGGTCAAAGTCATTGGTGTGGGTCCCCTAATCGGAACTTTTACCCAAATCTTTTATACAGATGATACATATATCATTAGATTTAGTAAATTTTGTGATATAATGGTTTTCATATAATAATTTTTGAAGGGGAATAAAGCCATGATGACTTGGGTTGGAATGTATCATATACAAAGAATTTCATCAAACAGCATTGCTCAATACTCTGCAATCATTAGCTGATCCAGGATATCCTATATGTACATTAGTAAATAGATAATCTGCTGTACATATTCCTTGCAAAATTATTAAATGTGTCATGTATCTATTTTGATAACATCTTTGCTGAATACTTGGTACCATAACATTTATATGGCAACCATCAATCACCCCAATTTTACACCTTAAATATTTTATGGTTATTTACTACATTATTTTTTATTAATAAGACATAACAATTTGTTTTAAATACAACATTTAGTCAAACCTGGAAAACCGGCGATATTTCTAAATTTTTCTTCTATATTGACTCTTTCATTAATAGTAGGCCACTGTATTAAAATATGTACTAATTTTAAAATACAGTTTATCCATGTAGTAATGCAATTAAAAACAGTTGATGTTGCAACATCGAATTTGTCTCCAATTTGTATCATGGATGTTTGATGTGCCAAATAATATAAAACTATTTGTTGCACCCTTTTGGGGTAGTACAGGTTCATATCCTCCAGTATGTGCCTAAAATTATGTTAAAATTATTTTAAACATTTTTATATTTACTAGAGATTTTAAATTAATTTGCAAAAAAATTCAGAAATATTGTAAGTTTTCCAGTTATTATTAATTATTGCACTTAAAACAAATTGTGTTCTATTAATATAATATACTGTTAATGATAAAATCAATCAGTCAGTGTCGGTCTCTCGGTGCCAATTAAAAGCAAATCGACCGACCGACTTAAGCCGTCTGCGCTACTGGGCCTCTACCCTCTGCCCTTTGGTCGGCCGCATAGGAGATCCAGCTCACCAACACCTCAATCCGTTCACCGTTCACCTATCAGTAAGTTTTGAATTTTCTTGTCTTCTGTTTCCCGTTTTTTTTTCTCTTAGGTCCACACAAAAAAATATAACTCCTATTGTAGTGCGCGTTAGAGGTTCCGCGAGAGCCACCCGCTCACGAGGTCGCAATCCGACCGTGCCCAGAAGTCCGCGGGGCCGCCAACCCGAACTCGACCCAGCTGCGATACCCCATTAGAAAATATAAACACCGAAATTTCTTACTCCCCTATTCCTCCCGACGACAATGCTCCCTTAGGCCTATCCATCCCTTCCGCCCCTGACCCAATACTCCTCGATATCCTGCAATATTCTCCTCCTCCCATATCTGAACGATTCTCTCCCCCTGACCCTCTCGAACAACCAATTCCACCCCCTTCTCTAGATCAATTCCCAACCCCTCCTCCGGC